TCGGCGAATTTGCCGACTTTGAGCCCTATTTTTTGCCAATTCTGTTGTTCCAGTTGACCAAACTCATAGCTATTTCTTTAGAACTCCATTTTTTCTATCAGTTGAGTACAGGAAACTGCCCATTTACCAATTTGAACTACCCAATGAAGTGGTCAGAAATTGGCAATTTGGCCAATTTCACACAAATTAAAAAAGATGCCAATTTCAAAATAGGGCCCAGAATAAACAATGTAGACATTCTTGGCACTAAAATAACATATCCTCTGTTCATTAGTCACGTCTCTAGGCCTCTCATATATTACTATTGCTTTCTATTTCGATTTTTTATTCATGCAAAAAATACAAAATTTACCGTTATGCAGACTAATGCATTACTGCAAAAATAGTATAAATAATATCAGTGCACTAGTGAAAGAATATTAGACTCCCAAATTGAAGTGTATTGGACATGTGGTGTGATTTGCTTACTCCTGAACATTGGTAAAAATTGAACATTTCCGCTACTTTGAGCTCAATTTCAAGATCGTTTTCATCAATAAACTAATCAAAATCATCTCTATTTCTATAATATGTTTTCCATTTTATCACGCGAGACCATGAAAATGAGAATACAACAATAAATACTATACGAAAATACACCTCAAAGTCGGTGTTTTAATCCAAAGAAATGGTCAGTTTTTTTTTTCTCATTATGCACTGTGTGCTGCAAGGTTTTTTTTTTTATGTGGTGCACACTGACCACACATCCTCATTCTCTCACATGTGGGCCTACCAGCTTTCTCCTGCTTGATTTGAATCCGCTAGAATTTACACGCATTAATACGTCCGAAATGCGCCACGTAAGACTCATATATACGACCAAAACAGTCAAAGGGTTAACCCATTAACTGTCGAGACCCCTGCTCACAAATCTGCTCACAGTATTGAAGAATTTAAAAAAAAAAATTCTCTTATGAAATGATAGAGAATATTTTTCCAATGGTAATGACACCAAAAGTACAAAATTTGATGGAAAACTTACAGAATTACACTCTCACAAAGTTAACGATCTTGGCAATATTCATGCATCAGCGATTTTGCCCACTTTGAGCCCTATTTTCGGCCAATTCCATTGTTCCAGTCGACCAAACTCAGCTATTTCTTCAGATCTCCAGTTGTTCTATCGAGTACGTGAAACCGCCCATTTACCAATTTCAACTACCCAATAAAATGGTCAGAAATTGACAATTTGGCCAATTGCATGCAAATTAAAAAAGATGCCAATTTCAAAATAGGGTCCAGAATGAACAATGCAGACATTCCTGGCAATGAAACAACATTTTCTCTGTTCATCAGTCACATCTGAAGGCCCCTCTTACATTACTCTTGCTTTCTATTTTGAATTTTTATTCACATAAAAAAATAGAAGATTTACTGTTATGCAGACTACTGCATTATTGTAATACAGTGGACCCCCGCTTAACGATCACCTCCAAATGCGACCAATTATGTAAGTGTATTTATGTAAGTGCGTTTGTACGTGTATGTTTGGGGGTCTGAAATGGACTAATCTACTTCACAATATTCCTTATGGGAAAAAATTCGGTCAGTACTGGCACCTGAACATACTTCTGGAGTGAAAAAAGTTCGTTAACCGGGGGTCCACTGTAATTGTACAAATAATGTATCTCATTCATGACTGCATATTAGAATGGTTAGTCAGACATTTATTGGACAATGATGACATTTGTTTACTCTCGAACATTGGCAAAAGTCAAACATTTCTGCTGCTTTGAGCTCAATTTCAAGGCCCTTTTCATCATGAAACCTATCAAGATCATTTCTATTTCTGTAACATGTCTTCCAGTCTATCAAATGAGACCAAGGAAACGAGAACACAGCCATAAATACTATACGAAAATACACCTCAAATTCAGCGTTTTAATCCAAAAACCAGGTCGGAGTTTTTTTTTCTCATTATGCACTGCGTGATGCAGGATTTTTTTTTATACTGTGCAAACTGACGACACAGACAAATTCTCTTACATGTGGGCCTACCAGCTTTCTCCCGCTTGATTTGAAGCCACTAGAATTTTAGAGTATCAATACGTCAAAAACACTGGCTCGTAAGACGTACATACAAGACCAAAACAGTCAAAGTGTTAAACAACCATGGTGACATTACACATCTCTAAGACCTACTTTTACCGGGAAGTAATCTCCCACTCTCCTACACACACTAACTTGAGCCTCACTATCCTCATCAAAAATCTTTACAGCATTTAGCAACTTACTAACTATTCTATACACTGGCAACATCTGCCACATTGCTCCCTTATCCACTATCATATGCCTTTTCTAAATGCAGTGGACCCCCGGTTTACGATCAGCTCCCAATGCGACCAATTATGTTGTTAGGTAAGACACATATGCAACAGTTAGGTATCTTTATTTCGAAATGTTTCGCCTACACAGTAGGCTTCTTCAGTCGAGTACAGAAAAGTTGATAGAAGCAGAAGAGACTTGAAGATGATGTAATCAGTCCATCACCCTTGAAGTTTTGAGGTGGTCAATTATGTAAGTGTATTTATGTAAGTGCATTTGTATGTGTATGTTTGGGGGTCTCAAATGGACTAATCTAATTCACAATATTTCTTATGGGAACAAATTCGGTCAGTACTGGCACCTGAACATACTTCTGGAATGAAATAATATCGTAAACCGGGGGTCCACTGTATTATAAAAATTATTATAAATATTATAAATTAAAATATTATAAATGGTGCAAAGGTGACATTAAAACATTATCAAGGATGGTTGACACAAGCTCACTACCATTATAATATGCTCCTTGCTTAGTGATGAATTTGTTTACTGACATGGTTTTAGGAATGGAACCTGTTGGTAAGTGAGGAGAGGCTGTACACCACAAAGTCGGTGTTTTCAACAAAAAAAACACTCATAATTTTTTATTCCCATTATGCACTGTGTGCTGCAGGATTTTTTTTTGTGTTGCATACTTACTGTTGAGACCCATTCTCCCATATCTAGGCCCAAATTTACCACTCACAGCTTATTTAAGTGAGCTGAGCTCATGGCATAATATAGGACTGACCAGGGCTTCAAAGCTGTAGTACTACAGGATCCACCCTCAAAATAGCAAGGGTCACCCCGATCCATAAAGGAGGAGACCAAACAGAGTTTAATAACTATAGGCCAATATCCAATTTACACCCTCTCTCAAAAATCTTCGAAAAATTAATTCATAAACGAATCTACTCCTACCTCATCTCCCAAAACATACTCAACCCCTGCCAATTTGGATTCAGGCCTAATAAAAATACTAATGATGCTATTATACACATGCTAGAACATATATACACTGCAACAGAGAAAAAAGAAGTCCCACTGGGGATCTTCATTGACTTACGTAAAGCTTTTGATACAGTTGACCATGACTTGCTCCACGTAAAATTGTCACACTATGGTATAAGAGGGCACTCCCTCAACTACAAGTCATACCTCAGCAACAGAAGCCAATATGTGTACGCAAATGGGGCAAGCTCTTCCGCACAACCAATTACAGTTGGTGTCCCACAGGGAAATGTCCTTGGCCCTCTTCTCTTTCTCCTATACATAAATGACCTACCAAATGCTTCACAATTACTCAAACCCACACTATTTGCAGATGACACTACATACGTCTTCTCTCACCCGAGTCCAGTCACGCTAGCCAATACTGTAAATACCGAATTACAGAAAATATCTACCTGGATGAGGACTAACAAACTTACACTAAACATTGACAAAACCTACTTCATTCAGTTTGGTAACAGAGCTACAGATGTCCCTCTTAACATAATGATAAATGGATCACCTATCACAAAGCTAACAGAGGGAAAATTCTTAGGAATCCACCTTGATAATAGACTCAAATTTCATACACATATACAACAAATTTCTAAGAAAATTTTCAAGACTGTAGGCATACTATCGAAGATATGGTACTAAGTTCCACAGTCAGCCCTCCTGGCCCTATATCACTCCCTTATTTACCCCTATCTCACCTATGGAATTTGTGCATGGGGCTCAACAACAATTAACCATCTCAGACCACTAATTACCCAACAAAAGGCTGCAGTTAGAATGATAACAAATTTTCACTACAGGCAGCACACTCCACCAATATTCAAAACACTCAACCTACTCACCATACAAAACATCCATACTTATTATTGCACCTATTACATACATAGAACACTTAACTCTGATATTAACCCTCCCCTCAAACATCTCCTTGCCAACCTCAACAGAACACATGACCATAACACAAGGCACAGATCACTCTTTGATGTTCCTCGTGTCCATCTCACGCTATGCAAAAACTCAATGCACATAAAAGGCCTTAAAATCTAGAATTCATTATCTGTAAATATAAAAGAAACACTACCTGTTTATAAATTCAAGTCTCTTCTCAAAGATCACTTACTCACCCAAAACCAAATACTGAATAACTGAACCCTATAAATTATATATCTTAAATGTTTCTCACAATTATATCACATAAATGTTAAACCTAAAACCCAATCTAACAGAATACTCCATTCGACTGAATGTACAGCAATGCATGCAACCATAGGACCTGTCTTTGTAATACTCATTTGTGCTTTATAGTTATCTGTTTACAATAATGTCTTATCACTGATTTCATCATTGCTTAGTTAATCTTAAGTTAATTTTAAGCCAGCCCGTAATGCTATGCATATAAGTGGCTTTGGCATGATGCTCTTACCTGTATTTTTTTGTACCTCTGTATGTATGCTCAAATTACTAAATAAAATAAAATAAAATAAAAAGGCAGGTTGACTCCAAGGAGGAGTTTCTTAACAATTTAAAAAATTCTGGCTTTCTGTTTAAGTACAACTGCATAATACCAGCACTAAACAGGCATTTGCCAATAATGATTTCAGTTGATAGCAAAACATTACAGCAATGATACAGCATCAAATATTTACACATACCTTTGGTACAGGATCCAACAGAGAAGCTTTGAGACCAGGAATGATACCTGGCAGGTAAGGCTGAAGATCTTTCTGGTCAGTCAGGGAGTACATGTTGCCAATGATTTGAGCTGCCATCTTGCGCACCTACAATACATAATAAAGTTATACTTAACCAATCTGTTAACATGTGCATTTTCTGTTATACTAAAGAAGAGGGAAATACCTAATAATGCATCCTTGAATGATACTTGAGGGCCTGGTTCACACTCTGCACACTGCAATAGCTTACTGGAGTGAAAAATATAGAATAAATCCAGTAAACAATAAAGGAACCATAAACACAATAAAAAAAACAGCATGTTACCTGCAGAAATATTACTGGCACAAAGACAAAAATTTTAAGAGTAAAGTGAACCACTATCTCCTGAAAATTCCACCATAACTGGCTTATGATGGTTATGTGAACCTGCAGGCAGCTACAACAAGCAACCTAACTAACAAGGATGCCTTGCCTGAGGTTGGGCTTCTTGTTTACACCCTTCAAAACTGGTCACAGGCACCTCAGAACTAAAGCTTTTAAGAAAATTCAGAAAAAAATCATGTTTGAAATAAGTATGAATGAGGAATTATATTCTTTGTACTAAATAAATACCACAGCATAGCTATCAGGGAAATAATTTGGCTATTTACAAATATTTGATTGTTTTGTAAGCCTTATTTCAAACTTTGGCACTGGAGAGGAGAGTAAATTAAGATAACCAAAAAAATTACTTAATTGTGCTTTGAAAACAAATTTCTCTATGTATACAGAGAAGGCATTCCTCTGATGAATTTTAAGTTTTTCAACTCCTGGATCCTATACGGTGAAATTTTTCACTGATCTCTCTCACCTTCACCTTCCCTAGAGAGGGAAGGGGTTCCTGCGTACCCCCAGGGGTTACTGTGACTTGGTACCCCCACAGTGGGGGTAAAGGGGGGTTGTTTAATGGACTCTCCCATTTTCAGAGAAACTGTGAAATGCCGGATCACCTTTATGACATACACGAGTCGACAAAGATGCGAAGAGATGAGATCTTACATCGACAGGTCTTGGGGACTTTGAAATTATGAATGTCATAGTGACTAGCATTCTCACACATCAAGAGCATTTGATTAGTGATCATTACTTGCCATCTTGGTCAACCTGGCCTAGGGCCTGGCTCCAGGCATTTAGTTTGAAAGCCTGGTGTATCAGTCTTCATCAAACCAGACACCATGTAAGGTGTTCACTATGTCCAGTGGAGGGTGTACACAACATTACTGCAGACCCATAACTTCAATGGTGCTTCAATGCCCAGTTAAGGGCAGAAGTGTGAGAGTACTGGAGACTCATTTAAGTGATTTGTGGATCTCTGGATCTAAGCCAGAATTCACAGTCAAAGGAAATGAACACGACTTTGTGATGTCACTTTGGTGGCTCATTTTACACCCTTGTTCAGTACAGATTGCAATGCATAATCTCGTTCAAAGTAGGTAGAGACCTAGAGTAAGCAAAGTGGTAGTTGTTTAAATTAATGGAAGTCTCAAAGCAGGTGAAGTGTCAGCAGCGAGATAAGAACCAATGAAGCTTGCTTGACACTTGTGAGAGTAATGGATATTTATCTCTACTTGACACCAGGTGTCATCAAAAACATCAGATTGGTAACCAGGGTACAGTATGCTTAGGGGTAGGTAGAATTATTGACAATATGTTAGGTAAAAGGACACAAGTGTAACTAATGTGACATTTTATTGTGGCAACGTTTCACTCTCCAGGAGCTTTGTCAAGCCGTTACAAACAGTTCATGCACATTAAGGGTATACACAGGTACAGAGAGAGGCACAAAGCATAATGTGATAGTTGTAGGTAGTAGTAATAGTAGAAATTGTGGTGATAGGAGTAGGAGCACGAGGAGGAGAAGCAGCAGCAAGGGCGGCAGTGGCAGCAGTGGCGGCAGTGGCGGCATCAGCGGCAGCAGCAGCAACAGTAGCAGAAGTATTATAACTGCTAGTACTACTACTACCTACAACAAACCATATTATGCTTTGCACCTCACTCTGTACCTATATATATAACCTCTGTGTCCATGTATTTTTTGTAAGCTTGACAAAGCTCCTGGCTTACAACGCCTCACCATGCAAACTTTTCAGGATACGAACCGTCGTTTGGTCAACTGTTTGCTTCTGGAAATGAGTGAAATTTCAGGATACGTCCTTTCCCCTCAAGGGAGGTTCCTTGGTGAAGGGCTCTTGATCTAGGGAATTGGACCTGTGCTCCAGTTCCCTAAATGAATAATAATAATAATAATAATTATTATTATTATTATTATTATACATACGTACTACTACTACTACTAATAATAATAATTATAATATGTATGTACTAATCATAATAATAATAATACAATATAATAGTAATGTCATTTTAGGACATTTTTCATAATTTTTTTTTTTCATATTTTTGTGCCAAATGCTTCAAAATAAACCCTCTGGGTGGCTGTAGGTGCAGCTGCTACACTAGACCAGTATATCTCAGTGCCGACCAAGGGTCAAAAGAAGAAGTACCATGATGAGTGACCACAGCAGACCCTTGGGATGCGTAATTTTGTCTTATATCGTACAAATTTTTTACACAATGCCTCATGTGAAGAGACAGTATTCACATGTGATCAGCAAGAAGTGATCAGAAACTATGAAAAAAGCAAGAGAAATGAAGAAGGCAGCTCGTCACCACCACCATCATGTTTTCACCTATATCTACATCTGTCTTGACCACACCTGTGGTTACATATGTGACAACCTCACCACTAATCATAGATAAACACAGGCTAGGTGTGGGGTTATGGACTGGAAAGATACTAGAGTGGGATAGTAAATGGCGGATGCTGCAGGCTACTTAGGCAGTCGCCATCACTCGCCATATTATGGCCTATTTTATTCATTCTAGAGTATATATTTTATGTTATTAATCCTTAACCCGTAAACAGTCCAAACATATATGTACATATACGTTCACTACCGTACTGCCCCAACTTTTTTGAGAAAAAAAAAATTGTTGTTTTTTAATAGGAGAAAAGAGCATATGGTACCCAGGCATCCCCAATTATTTTAATATGGTGCACAGTGAGTGCTCACACCCATTCTCACATGTCTAGGCGACTCAGGCTTATCGTGGCAATGTTAAATGTAGGACACATAAAACGTATATATACATTTGGGGCACTAGCGGTAAAACCGTATATATACGTTTGGACCGTTTACGGGTTAAACTGTCCACACGTAGATATACATTCACATGCGGTGGGCTCCAAATGTAGATCAACATTTTATTTTTCATTACTTCAAATACTGTGCGATAGACCTGAGTCGATTAGACACGAAAGAATGGGTCTGTGCACTCAGTGTGCGCACTATGAAAAAAATTGGGGACCACTTAGTACTTCGTGGGAGCACCAGTTCAACTGAGCGCCAGCTAGAGCAAATAGCATGGCAAACACCAGTGATTCACTGATGTCATGTCATATTAACACTCACATTTTAAGAGGAAAGTAAAAATAGGTTAGATAAATGCATGAGTGGGTGTGGGTGGGTGTGAGTTGGACCTGACTAGCTTGTGCTACTGGGTCAGATGTCGTGCTCCTTCTTTCAGTGGATGTGACCTGACTAGGTTGGTCATTGGTCTAAGCCACAGGGGGTGACATGGACCTGCCTTGCATGGGCCAGTAGGCCTGTTGCAGTATTCCTTCTTCTTATGTTCTTATGTAATCGGCTGGCTAGTTGGCTGGCTTTGGCTGTCTGTCTGTCTGTATCTGTCTATATATCTGTCTATCTATAGCTCTGTCTGTCTATATCTATATATCTCTGTCTATATCTCTGTCTAAATATCTGTCTATACCTCTATCTGTCTATATCACTGTTTATCTGTATCTCTGTCTACATCTCTGTCTCTCACATGTACTCATAAATACAGTTATCAATAATACTTGCACAATGGATGAACATGGGGAATATATAATAGCTAAATTCAAATCCAAATACCTACAAAAACCTCTCACAGTGATCAACATCTACAGAGTACCACAGTCAAATATTAGCCGTTTTAGTGAAAACCTAGGAAGTGTGATAACTGATGAATAAAGATCACTTACTACTATCAGGAGACTTCAATATAAATCTCCTGCAAGACCAGGACCCCACATGTAACTGAATTCACAAACACTATAAGTAACTGCTTGTTGCTACCAACAGTAACAAAACCTACAAGAATTACAGAGACTAGTGTGTCCCTATCAGACCACATCTAGACCAACACCATATCCCCTTTAAAATCAGGCATAATCACAGATAATACTACAGACCACTATCCTACCTTTCTCATAAACAATCTAGGTAAATTACCCCAAGACACTGCTAAAGTAACCTTCAGACTTCATAAAGAGGCGGCAATAAATAGCTTCACAACAGCACCGACAAACATCGACTGGCAAACTGAGCTAGAAATCTATACAGATACTGATGAATGTATTAATAATTTTCAAAAAAAAGACCCAATACCTCTATAACATGCATTGCCCTACAAAAACTAAACAGATCACAGCTAAGAGACTGAACAGTCCCTGGCTAACACCCAGCATCCTCAAATCCATAAATATAAAGCGCCTATATGAAAAACAGTACAGAATGGGTCACATAACCAGAGACAAAACAAAATATTACTCATCAATCCTAACCAGCCTGATAAGAAGGGCAAAAAAACTGTATTATGAGAACAGATTATCCAATTTAAAAGGTGATATAAAAAAGACCTGGAAAACCCTATCTGAAATTCTAGGAACGAAAAAGATATTGGGAAACAGAGCAATCAAACAGAACCAGATGAACCTCAACTCTCACCAACTGAAACAGCAAACAGACTCAATGTTTTCTTCTCCACCATAGGAAAAAACCTTGCTGATAAAATCCCAAGCTCAAATACCCCACCCAATGACTACCTCACTGACAACTACCTGAACACACTGTTCCTAGCTCCGACTAACCCAACAGAAATCTCCCTTATTATCAACACACTATAAAACAAGACAGGAGATTTAAATACCTTACCACCCTTTATATACAAAAAAGCTTCA